TGCCCGCCACGGCGGTTCCGTCGCTGGTGATGGCTCGTGGTCACCGAATCGAGAGTGTTCCGGAGATGCCGCTTGTGGTGAGCGACTCAGCTGAAGCTGTAGAGAAGACCTCTGCTGCAATTAAGGTTTTGAAGCAGATTGGTGCTTACGCTGACGCTGAGAAGGCGAAGGACAGTGTTGGAATCCGTCCTGGGAAAGGGAAGATGAGGAACCGTCGATACATCTCTCGCAAGGGTCCTCTGATCGTGTACGGAACTGAGGGTGCCAAGCTCGTGAAGGCCTTCAGGAACATTCCAGGTGTTGATGTCTGCAATGTAGAGAGGCTGAACTTGCTCAAGCTCGCTCCTGGTGGTCACTTGGGTCGGTTCGTAGTGTGGACCAAGACTGCGTTCGAGAAGCTCGAGTCGATCTATGGCTCATTTGATAAGCCGTCAGAGAAGAAGAAGGGTTACGTTCTGCCGCGTCCGAAGATGGTGAATGCGGACCTTGCTAGGATCATCAACTCCGATGAGGTTCAGAGCGTTGTGAAGCCGATCAAAAAGGAGGCGAAGAGGGCTGTTCTGAAGAAGAACCCCCTGAAGAACCTTAACGTGATGTTTAAGCTCAATCCGTACGCCAAGACCGCCAGGAGGATGTCTCTGTTGGCGGAAGCACAGAGGGTTAAGGCCAAGAAGGAAAAGCTCGAGAAGAAGAGGAAGCCCATTTCTAAGGTATTTTTCTTTTTTGTCTTTTTCTTCTGTTATTTCTTGGTTGTGAGGAGATTCGTATTATTATGCTGGTTTTACGGGTTGTGCATATGGTTTCTCATTCTATAGTTTAGATTAGACACCCTTTTAGTTTCTGAATCTTCTGATGGATGCCTGTGTTGCTTGACTCACCCGAAATCCTTGCTAGTCTCGTCATGTCTTGTGATGTATTGTAGTGAAGTTGAGTGAACTGTTGGATCTTGTTGTTTTGTTGCTAGAGTTCCTGAATCATCTTGAGTTTATGTCTGAATCCTGTCTGGTCTGGTCTCCCAAACAAGTTATGAACTTTGCAATGCATATGGTTGGCTTAGACTGGGGAAATTAGATTCACGGTCTGCATCTGTTCTGTTACATTGATAAACCCCTTTTCTTGTCAGTCTGATCAAAATTCAAATGCTTTCAGATTAGATAAAGGTGTAAAAGAATATTGGGAATGAAACACTTTGTTTTTGGGATTGTGTTGTGTGAATGTGAACCGCAGGAGGAGGCAGCGAAAATCAGGGCGGCGGGGAAGGCATGGTACCAGACCATGATTTCCGACAGCGATTACGCCGAGTTTGACAACTTCACCAAGTGGCTCGGTGTCAGTCAGTAGTTATTTGCTTACTTTCTTTGTTCCATACTTAGACTTCAAAAACAAAAAAAGAGATTTTGCCCATTTCATCTTCTCGTCTCTTCTCTCTGCCATTATCATTAGAGTATGTCACTGTTTGAGTTTGCCGCGCATCAGACACCTATGGAGTTATCGGAGATTGGTTTGCATTTCACTTTTCAATCTTTATAATATTCATCACGTGTGACTATTACGGTGATTTGATCTGTGTGATGTAATGCGGAATATGTTTGTATGATGATCACATGCTGTAGATGGGATGTTCAAACGACACCGTTTACTGCTGTTCGTTAGGGGTTGTTTAGCCGTTTCAACATGGTGAGTACCATCCGTGTGTGCAGTATCTGGAAGAGGCTCGTCAGTTTTCAGACAAAACTTCCTCCTGGGACATTTGGACGAGACTATAGATAGACATACAGACACGTAATACAGATTGACGTTCGTATCCTGCAGGGGAGAAGCAAAGACATGCAAAAGAAAGGGAATGCCCTTCGAACCAATTCCCCGAATTCGTTTGCACCATTTTGCCAAATCTCTCCACCACACTCCCATTCCAGTTCTCCTACTCCTACTTCACAAAAAAAAGAAAGAAACAATCACCCACCAATGAATGCCAAAACCACGAGACATGAAATACACCTTTTCATGCATCATGGAGTCTCAAACTGCTTCCCTTCGAAGGTCTGTCCGAAACTCCAGTTTTTGGGGGCAATGTTGTAAGATGTGACGGTGCTACCGTCGCTGGCAGTGACCTCGAAAGAGAGAGGCTGGCTCCTGAGATCTGCATTTATATGCCAATTCTGTCCCCAGTTCCTGCCCATTGGCAGCCACCCGGTTCTCGACCCTTTGATCTTCACCCCGGTTATGTCTCCAGCTCCTGCCACATTGGTGATCAGCACTGACATGAATATCCCTCCCCCATCGATCGAAAATCTCATGCTCCCTTCCCTTCTGCAGTTGATCCTATTCGCCAAAACCAGGAACACGGGTTAAAAAGACAAGCCATGAAACCTAGAAACCTGCTGCACTCTTACATGCTCACGGGTGAGATGATGATCCATCACGGGTCAAACATTTTACCAAAAGCATAAACCCAAGGAAGATTCTCCAACAGTAGAATTTCATGGGATGCATCAACACGAACAAAAATCCAACACATGAATCCGGATGTACGATCATTCGTGTATGCATAATCTCTCATTCTCTTACGTCCAGTGTTGCGGAATCACTCCAGACCCCATTCTTGGAATGGTGACCGATTCAAAACGAACCTCAATTCTCCTGCATTACCAGTTCTTAACCTTCCCTAGCCACTAACCATGAGAGCAGACCCTTCACATGCCACACCACCCTTCAAATGTTTTAATCCATTCTGAACAAAATTTACTCTTAAATTTAGAAACTTCCTATGAATCATAGGCGATAAAATGTTCTGAAACTTGGTGAAGACTAGGATTACTCGAGTAGAAAAACATCAGGGGCATTCTAGTAAATTCAGGAAACGCCGGACAGCATTAGTGCAAATCCAGCTATTTTCACGCTCCAAAGCGCACGAATGTCTAGACGCAACCAAAAAGCGTCGCCCGATAATTCAAAAAAAAAAGTGGAAAAGCAGACCGCGTTTACCACCGCAAACGCAGTTATGAAAACGCGATATTCGAAAATGAACGAAGTCGCAGTAGAGAACGCACCTCCGGTACTGAATGGGCATGTTCCCAGCCTTCCAGATAGCGATCTTCTCGAACGCCTCGATCGGGAGCACGAAATGGTTGTTGGGAGGGTTACAGTGGCCACCACCTTCAGGGGTAAAACCGTAATTAGGGGCGCAGAAGTTCGTGGCGGTGACGATGATGGAGGTTCCCGGGATGCACCACCGGAGATCGTCGACGCAGCGGAGCTCGAAGCAAGCGCCGCAGATCTGGCCGCGCTCGAAGAGGGACTCGCTCAGGCCGACGGTGGCAAAGCCGTAGCCGGCCTTGACGAGGGCGCCGTAGCCGCCGGGACCCCCCA